GCTGCTGACTGATTAGGAGATAATACCATTTTCTGACAGTAAAAATTCACTGAACCCTGGAATGAATGTGAAAGGATGTATCCAGGACCAAAACACTCCAATGCGAATTACACTTAAGATTTGGGGAAATTATTTGATAGTACATGGGTCCTGTTAGGGCCGGAGAAGGTGGCATTTACATTGTTAATTCATTCCCCTCTGTTTTCTACATGTTTTCTGTATAACACTGATATAAACCAGATATCTCAAACTACACATAAGGTGTAGTTCTACACAGTAACCCTTTCTAGTGATGAGGGTTATGAGGTTAATACCAGAACAGCAAAATTCTCCAAATACAAGCAATGGAAACACACAGAATATGGTCACAATGGAAATACGAATGTTCTCTTACCATCTCTCATGTTTTTTCATGGCAGCTTTGAGAATTAGGAGGGATGTAATGGTAAGTAAGTATGAGGTGGGCAACTGATCTATCTCAACTGGATTAATTTCAGTCACACACTCCAGTAGTTATCTTTGTCCTTCCAGCTATATCAGCCTTCTCTGTCCTCACCATCAACTAGAGCCTTTAGATATGAAAGATACCCCCCCAAACTCAAATCCAAAACACTCAGACCCATTAAAGGTTTCCCCTTTTCTACTGTTAAGAACAAAGAACACATTACATTTTTCTATGTGAAGTATGCTATTAAATAATAGCTTGTACACTAATTAAAGCAAATGTAATTGTGAGAACACACTGACATTGTTAAAGTAAATTACCCAATTCGTTAATGGTTTCATTTCAAGTGACCTTAATTGTATTAATTGTGATATTGAGCAAATTAAATTGAAGAGTATTAAATGCATTGTTCCAGTCTGTCCTTAGAGGATCAACTTTCTCATTACATCAATGAAATGGGAATACTACCTACTATGCTCTTCAAAACTTGTGTCAGAATGTGCTGAACGCTATAACTTAAGAGTAAAAACTTACAGCAGCTCAGAAACAGTTAACCTAGTTATCCTGTTCCAATGTAATATAAACCTCAAGCATTTGGAAATGAACAAAATAGTTTGTCAGATGCAATACACAGTGAGGAGGCAGAAGAGAAAAGTTTCTGAAATTTCTCTTCATATATTCAGGGTTTATAAAGTCTCTGCTGGAGACAAAAAAAGATAAGATTCATCAGTTTCTCTGATAAAAGATCCCTATTTCAGAGGGAATCATTCAAAAATAGAATAAAATGAACAATATCATTAAGATCTTTAGAACAGAGAATGTAGCAAGATACCATCAACTTACTGTAGTCAAAAGAAAACATAGCAATGCATATATATATACAGGCATGTAAATTAAAATACAACCAGATCCAAAAGACATAATCTAAAATTAAAATTCCTTAAAAGAACTAAAATATTCCATTTGAAATATCAGATTGCAGAAGTGAAAATCCCTGCCACAAATTTCTTACCAACTATTAAAAATGCTATTTAAAAAAGCATATAGGAGTGCTTATAGGCAACACACACTTTTCTATTTTGAAAAAAAAATCAGACACAAGGAAAATAACATAGGCCAAATCAACCATCAGAAAAAGACTGAAATACTATCTTATCTGGTTTTTGGAATATTTTAAAGGGATAGAAAAAAGATCTTGACTGCCAATTAGTTAACAGCCTATCCTGAGTTTTGTAAACAAGCACATTCTCATGACTCATCGTAACTCAAGATTCAAAGTTCCTCAGTTACACAAAATTTGGAGTGAAATGAACACCCAGATCTTTCTCCAAATGACACTTACCTCATGTGTTATGATCTACTTTTATTTGTTCAGCTAGATAATTGTCTCCTGCCTAGCATTTGCAACATTAAACCTCACAGCTGTTCCTAGTGAACCATGTCTTATTCTTCTCAGGCCACCTCTCCAAAATCTCAAGAATACTTTGAATACTATGTAGCTCTCCATTGCACTAACAGCCCTGTCCCAAATAAACCATGTTTTCTCTCTGTACCTTCACTGAGATTTTAATAAAAGCACTAGACTGCTACTAGACTCAATCAGCACACTTCTGGAATCCCATCCAATATATCCTTCCAAGCTGACAGCGAATCAACAAAAGTAGTCTATGCATGCAGTTTTCCAACCAGCTATACTTAACAGGAATCCATGTATTTCTGAAATTTCTTTCATTTTATGAAAACGCCTTGTGAGAGAATTTCAAAACTCCAGCTGGACATGACATCTCCTGGTTCTCCATCAAGTTTTGGTATCAGTTGCACATACTAAAAATACAATACTTCATGTAGATTAACAAGTCTGACTAGCTCTATGATTAAATATTTCTTTTCAGCTTCCTTATCAGTGACATGCTTTATTTTTATTACCTCATCTCAGTGAAGATTTCTATCACTTTGCCTCCAAGGTAATACTTTAAGTATTCAGCACAGCTTCAAAAAACAATTTAGATGACTTCATATTCCACAGTATTGCACAGAACATCTCCAACTGACGGACCACCTCTCTTGCAAATTTCTATGATACATAATACAGAAGACTTGAAGATACAGATTTTCACCAAGTGATTCTGTATTATGACTGAAACTTGATGCTGAGTTGAAAAACCTTGTCTTGAAATACTTCTGTGAAGACAATGATGGGCAGACTGCATGGATGGGAAAAACCATACACTTTGATGCCCAAAAACCTAACACCATCTAAGCATATGCTTTTTTAAAAATGAAATATTAAAACTTCAAAGACTTATTTTGGATATATGAAGTTTCAAATTAAAATGCAGTATGAGTTTCACAGTAAAAAAACGTATGAAGATGAAATGGATGCTTTATATAAAATATTTACATAGATAGAACATAAAAAATGTACCATAGTTGGTAACCTTTATGACTTGGGGAACCATGTATTTACATATCTTTATCTTCGCATGTGCGTATGTGTGTGTTGTGTATATATTTTTAACAGTTGACAGCTGTTTTAGAGCATACAGAGATGCCAAGCTGAATGAGGGTCTTGATTACTTCAAGATTAGCTATCTAAAGTTTCTATTCATTTTAAGTGTTGTTAGTGCGAAGAGTCATTAGTCACTTCCTTGTCTCATAGAACATCAGCATACATTTACATTGTTAATGAACATTTGGGGTAAATGAATTAATGGCACTTTTAAACATCAATTCAATACTAATAACTTTGTATGTCATAGAAATGTTAAGGTTGGGATAAAAATGAGAAACCTTTTCAGTCAAGGTAACTAATCGCTTCTGGGCATAATAAAGGGTGAAATTAATTTACAGTGTTTTTTTAACAGGGTAAAAATCTTGTTTTTTCTTGAAACAGAGTTGAGAGAATTACCAGTATTTTTTTAAGGGAAAAAAATCAGAAGAAAATGCTTCTCTTTTTCTTGATTGGGGAAGACTAGAAGCAAGCTGTATTTCCTCTGGAAAACGGTTATTATTTTAGGTTATTGCAAAAGATTATTTTCAAGTTTCTAAAAATACATAAAAAATGCATTTAGTTTATCAAACTAAAATGGCTCCATATCGTTAAGATGTCAAGTATAATAGAGGAGGAACACTGACCTAGAAAAGCTATTTCATTTAATCGTCAGGTTTTAAAATACTTCCCCCTTGATGTTCATTCCCATTTTCTAGCATTGAAAAAGCTTTACAAAGTAATGAAGAAAAAATGAAAAAAAAAATTAGCTCAAAGGGACAATAAATTTTTACCAATATATTTTAAAGCAAAACATCAGCTTCTTATAAACTAAAGTAATAAACCTGACTAAGCAAAACTTGACATAGCTTTTTTAATAAGTACTAGTAAACAGAAGATTTACAGACAGATAGACCCACACAGAGTAGCTGATCTGGGTGAGGGACTTAGGAAATGTAACAAAGGTGTTTCAACTCTGTAATTTAGATATTTTTTTTTATTTATTTTGCCCTCCTGGTATTGTTGCGCCAGGGGAGGTTTAGGTTGGATACTAGGAAAAATTTCTTCACCGAAAGGGTTGTCAAGCACTGGAACAGGCTGCCCAGGGAAGCGGTTGAGTCACCACCCCTGGAGGTATTTAAAAGATGCGTAGGCCTGGTACTTAGGGACATGGTTTATTGGTGGAGTTGGCAGTGTTAGGTCTATGGTTGGACTCGATGATCTTAAGAGTCTTTTCCAACCTAAATGATTCTATGATTCTACGATGCTATGTGTTCAATGACTGGAAAATTACAGGTAGTTAAGGTGCCACTGTGTATAACTGAGTACTTGAGGAATGTTTTCATGACAAGGACGAGCTTTCTCGTTAAGCTTATCACTTTCTTCGAACCAACTATACTGTCACTACTAGCAAATAAGTAGAAAAGACAAGCAACACAGACATGCATTGCATTATGCAAGCAGTTTGTTCTCACTGTTCATTAGAGTCTTCTAAATACTGCATTTAATTAATTTACTTTAGGTTACATAGTAATTTCTACCTCTAGAGTCTGTTCATTCTATCTCAGCTTCCAGGTTTTTTTTTTTTTTTCAAATAAGAATATAGGTGCTGAGTCAAACAAAAAAAAAAGGAAAATCAGCCTTTTATTTGCATAATCTCATCCAAAATAACATATTGAACTTTACTGCAGAATTAAAAAAAAAAAGGAAAACAGAAAAAATCCCTAAAACCAAAGCAGTGTAAGAGCATATGCTTCAGAAAGTAACACAAAGCCATGCTGCATTTCAATATTCTTATGCTGAAGTGAGTGTTTGGCTTATGATTAAAAAAGGATGACAGCACATTAAACATTTGGCTAATGTTTCTGTCTGTAATTGAAAGTTGACTTTTCATGGTTTTCATTAGTGTCAGAGTATTCTACACATACTCTGTGAAATGTTCTTTAAGTTGCCCTGTTCAACTTCATTGAGAGAGTTAAAGAAATGATGACAGGTACAATCATCGTGACACACTTACATAAAGTTTCTAGGTATAAAGTCAAAAAAGTACAGAAATACAAAACTCACCTTCCCCTAGCTTGTTTGAATAACTCTGCAAGGGATCAATGCCTATTTCTTGTTCCTCTGTTTGCAAAGGGTGACTGGTTTCAGACACAGAATGATACATATTGGCAATAGTAAATCCAACTGAAGAGTATTTATCTGGAGGAAAAAACAGAGAAACAAACACTTCAGTGTTTCTTTAGCTATTTTTCAATCCCAGAAGTCAATAGCAAAAATGCTTAAAACCTTTCCTTATTTTTCAGGCATAACATCACCATTAGATGTTTAATAGCAGAACAATAGTGTTTCCATTCAAATGTTTTATTATTTGCAGTCCAAAAGAATTGTTACAGTACCTCCAACTATCACACTGCAAGTAAAAGTCCAAGTGTAGCTTTGACAGACTAAAGTGGGGCAGAAGCCCCTTTCCTCCCTTCTTCTAGCTTCCCTAACTCATCTTTTAGTCTGATTCCAGTGAGAACTGATGCTAGTCCTTGGGGATGAAGAAGATTATAGATCAAAGCTGAGGTGAGACCTATCATCATCACTCTTCTGCACTCAGGACCTCTTATCCTAGAAAAAATTCCTTTTAACCACTTTTTTTTCAGAAATCACAGGTCAAGGATAAGATAACAGAGGGAGGGATGCAAACGCATGCAAAAAGAGAGAATGAGATAATACTGACTGGTATGATGGCTGATTGTAGTTTCATCAAGTTTTATATCAGCTTTCTAGAAAGATGGTGTTAAGGAAGCATTTGCAGAAACATAATCTGCTAGCTAGTGAATATTTACAAACAAGTTCTTCCAAAAATGAAAGGCAAAAGAGGAGAAAGCACAAACCCAAAAACCCAGGAAGTAGGTGACATGGGTTCATCATCACAGGCTGCTGAATGGCATTCACGTCACTATCACATAAGTGAACAAGAACTATATTACAAGTGCATGTGAGGAGTGTTGGAAGCTAATATTGGCTGCAACAAATAAGAGGATGCCAATACAAGGGTGAAAAGCAGATGGTGTTACGGTCAGAGCAGTAAGAAGGAAAAACGACCTTTCCAGTGCATTAACAGCGCAAGAGTACATTTGTCAAGACTGCATTTTGGTCACTGTACAGCAATTTATTAACTTGCAACACAAAAGAACTGTGCCAGCCAAATAGGTTTGATTTGCCCAAGCACGCTAAGTAGCTACCTACAACTGCCAGCTGACTTTTAAATATCACTTACTGTAACTGCTTAGTTTACAAGTACCATAACTTTCTAAAATTATATTTAAAAAGAAATATACAAAGACAAACAACAAAGAGGTATGCACCTACACTTTCAGGATTGATATATTATCTATTTGGAAATCACTTCAATTACGCTTTTCCTTTGGTTCTTACAAGGCATGTCATTGACCATATATGCTTTAT